CAAAACAACCCTGGCCAGGGGACATGTACATATACTGTCAATGTAGAGTGAAATGATCTTGTGGAAACAGCAACTTTGCTTTTAATGGGATTCTGAAGTCAGTAAAAGAGTTTGTCATACATGGGCAAATTCGACGGGCCATTAATTTGAAAGGCAAAATCAGACCAACTTGAAATTTACAAGATTTTACTGTCGGGTTGGATACTGTTGATCTAAAGTGGAATTATCCTGTGGCAACACCAAATTTCAATTTAAGAGCATTTCGAAATCATCAAAAGAGTAGGTCGTCTACGGGCAATTTGAAAAGGCTTTTTTTTTTTTTTTTGGAAGGCAAAATCAGAGTGACTTGATATTGATATGGTATCACTGTGGGGCTGAGAATTACCCTGTGGAAACATGAACTTTTCATTTAAGAGCATTTTGAAACTGTTAAATGAGTAAGTCGTATGTCGGCAGTTTCAATGGGCCATTACTTTGAAAGGCAAAATCAGAATGACTTGAAATTGTCATGGTAACATGGCGAGGTTGGATACTTTTGATCTAAAGTGGAATTATCCCGTGGAAACAGCAATTTTCATTTTTAGAGCATTTTGAATTCGTTCCAAGAGTAGGTCATATATGGGCAATTTGAAAAGTGTTTTATTTTGGAAGGCAAAATCAGACTGATTTGATATTGATATGGTATCACTGTGGGGCTGGATACTATTGATCTAAAGTGGAATTATCCTGTGGAAACAGAAATTTTCGTTTTTGGAGCATTCTGAAATCTTTAAAAGAGTAGGTCATAGCGTGGTAATTTTAACAGACTTTTATTTTGGAAGGCAAAATCAGACTGACTTGATATTGATATGGTATCACAGTGGGGTTGCATACTGTTGATCTAAAGTGCATTCATCCTGTGGAAACAACAAATATCAATTTAAGAGCATTTTGAAATCGTTAAAAGAGTAGGTTGTATATGGGCAATTTGAAAAGGCTTTTATTTTGGAAGGCGAAATCAGACTGACTTGATATTGATATGGTATCATTGTGGGTTTGCATACTCTTGACCCAGATTGAAATTCTCCTGTGGAAACAAGAATTTGTCTTTTTAGAGAAATCAGAATTCATTGAAAGATTATTTCCCGTATGTGTCATTTGAAAGGGCTGTTATTTTGAAAGGCAAAATCATAATGACTTGAGATTAACCTGGTATCACTGTGGGATGGAATACTGTCAATATAGATAGTAATTATTCTGTAGAAACAGCAATTTTCCATTTTATAGCTTTCTGAAGTCATTGAAAACGCACACCGATATATGGTCAATTTGAAAGGGTCATTATTTTGAAAGGGAAAATAAGAATGATTGATATTGACATGGTATCACTATAAGGTTGTATACTGTCAATATAGACTGCAACTAGTCTGTGGAAACGTGAATTTTCCATTCTGAATTAATTGAAAAAGTAGTTCAAAAATAAACATTTAGAGGGCTTTTACTTTGAAATCCAAAAGGAGATGGCTTTAATATTGACATGTTGCTACAGAATACTAGGGTATGTCATTTGTATCCAACATTAGAGTGTGCAAACAAGACTAATTGATATTTATGAATGTGCTCTTAATTTACTGGAAGTTGGCTTTTATTTAGAAGTCATGCTTCAGGATGTCTGTGAAGGTTCTCAGTCATCCAGGTCATCGTAGTCAAAGGAGCTTGCAAAGAAAAGTCCAGATGCTTCAGGATCTTTTATTTTGAAATCAGGTTTCCACGTCTTTTGCCATAATACTTTGAATACACAGGGAACGTAAAACAAAGTGGAGGCTGGCTTGACTGCAATGCTGGAATTGGAGGCTGGCTTGACACCAGTTTTTCTGTCGCTTTTCACATGTGGAACGACATTAACGCCAATTTTAAAAACCTGGCACTTCAGTAACCCCTCATTAGTCAATAGCTACGGATTAAATAGCAAAGCCCGATACTTATGTACTGAAACCAACTACTTCCGCTTGTCAGCTTAAGTTAAAATGTTACATTTTTCCTCTGATTATTTTTTTTTAGCATTTTTTTTACTGAGTTTGTTACAAATATTCAGGTTAAAATACTGTCCGAATTATTTTTAATGAATTATGTTCACAAAGTCACATGTGCAGTACTCTGTACAGCTTGCAT